CGCCCCCGGTGATTCTGAAGTAAACTAAAATCCAGAACAATTGGTTTAGAATTGCAAAGGAAACTTTAGCCTCCGTTCTTCATCTGGAGTTGTCTTACCCTTTAAAACCAGCTAAGTGTTGATATAAATTATAATGTAGATATACAACTCCTTTTCAATTACACACCACAGAAATACTCATTTTTCAGGTAGTAGGTTTTCAAATTTCTTCTGCCCCTCAATTTGCTTAGAAGAAGCTATCAGAACCTGCCTTAAATAAATATGAGAAAATAAAAATTAAATGTAAAGCTAGTAAACCAAATACAAGCAGAATATTAAATATGCTGCACGCCAGTGTTTTGTAATACACACACACTTCAAAGGAAGCACTTGATATAAAAATATCAAGTATTTTAAATTATTGTTCTATTAGTTCCAACAAATGAAACATAATCATTTAAAGTAAAAAACTATTTAAGGAATATGGAGGTAAAATTATTATGAGTTATAAGTAAGAATAAAGTTTCAGATTTTCATGTTCTTCCTTCTCTTCCTAAGATATAGTCAGCGGATAAAGAATTATTTAAGAAAGAGAGAAGGGTAGATGCAAATAAATTATTATAAAAAGAATTATTCTTATTTGATTACATTCTTATTGCTCTTATTTAACTTGTAATTAAATAATATCATGTACTGCATCAAAAAACATAAGCCAGTTTACTTCTTTCAAAAGTAAGGTTACATGGTCATTATCATTGTGACTGTAGAAAAGAATAATTTCCATTTCAGGGTGTGTGCCATGCTGAGCTCTCCTTACTCTCATAGTCATCTCAGTAGGTGGGTTATTTGGTCAGATGTGTCACTGTAATAATGGGCAATGTTGTTCAGTTATTTAACTGTATCTAATTTTATTTAATTTTAAACTAAATTAACTATTTCTAACCACAAAGACTACTAAACACTCTGATGTTTTACTAATTTCATAAAATAATCATAGAATTCTAGAGAGATACTAAAAATATTTTATTTTTGTTTATTTTTCTTTTTATAACTTTTATATTATGACATAAAGTGCATTAAATTTTCCTTTTGTCTTCATAAAACCAATAATAATGTCCTCAATGTAACTTTGAATTAAGTACAAGATTGTTTATGATTTTAAATACTGCCTTTAAAATAATATTTTCTTTTGTAATGCACAAATGAATATTAATGATATGTGCTTTTAAACTTTTTCTGGCACAAACAGAGAAAATGATAGCTAGGATTAATACAGTTTTTTAATGCAATTCTATAATGGTGGAGATTTTACTGAATAATAGTTTAGTTTACTCATAAAAATTATTTATTTGAGGGGTATTTCAAGAAATGTTTTGAAAGTTATTTGTTACTATTCTCATTGGTTTCTTAAATTAAATTTAATAAAAAAGAAAATGAGTAATCTCAATTCATTTTTTTAATCTATAGAATGTTCTGGAAAAACATACACATATACTTTTTACAAATTTATTCTGAAAGGAAGAGAAAAATATTTAAAGCTTTCTCTGAACTGTTTTTCCCCTCCTTTGTTACAGATATCTATTTTTCAGCTATATTAATGTTCTCAAACAAAGAAATGGATTTCTTAAACTCAACTGATCAAAATTTGACCTCAGAAGAACTATTAGACAGAATGCCATCCAAGATTCTGGTGTCCCTCACTCTCTCTGGGCTGGCGCTGATGACCACCATCATCAACTCTCTTGTGATCGCTGCAATTATTGTGACCCGGAAGCTGCACCACCCAGCCAACTATTTAATTTGCTCCCTGGCAGTTACAGATTTTCTTGTAGCTGTCCTGGTGATGCCTTTCAGCATCGTGTACATTGTGAAAGAGAGCTGGATTATGGGGCAAGTGGTCTGTGACATTTGGCTAAGCGTTGACATTACATGCTGCACGTGCTCCATCTTGCACCTCTCTGCTATAGCTTTGGATCGGTATCGGGCAATCACAGATGCTGTCGAGTATGCCAGGAAAAGGACTCCCAAGAATGCTGGCATTATGATTACAGTAGTTTGGATTATATCTGTTTTTATCTCTATGCCTCCTCTGTTCTGGAGGCACCAAGGAACTAGTAGAGATGATGAATGCATCATCAAACACGACCACATTGTTTCCACTATTTACTCAACATTTGGAGCTTTCTACATCCCATTGACATTGATTTTGATCCTCTACTACAAAATATATAAAGCAGCAAAGACGTTATACCACAAGAGGCAAGCCAGTAGGATTGTCAAGGAGGAGCTTAATGGTCAAGTTCTTTCGGAGAGTGGTGAGAAAAGCACCAGACTGGTCTCCACAACCTACATGCTGGAAAAGTCTTTATCTGATCCATCAACAGACTTTGATAAAATTCATAGCACAATGAAAAGTCCCAGGTCTGAATTCAAGCATGAGAAATCTTGGAGAAGGCAAAAGATCTCAGGAACAAGAGAACGCAAAGCAGCCACTACCCTGGGATTAATTTTGGGTGCATTTGTCATATGTTGGCTTCCTTTTTTTGTAAAAGAATTGGTTGTTAATGTCTGTGAAAAATGTAAAATTTCTGAAGAAATGTCAAATTTTTTGACATGGCTTGGATATCTCAATTCTCTTATAAATCCACTGATTTATACAATCTTTAATGAAGATTTCAAGAAAGCATTCCAAAAACTTGTACGATGTCAATGTTAGTTTTAAAAAGATTTATTATTAAAAGGTTGTGATTATTTTTTTGAGGTGAAGTAACTAAGTGAATGCTAAATGATAAAGCATTTAAACTTTTAGGAGGAAATAAATTAAAACTGCTAAAATGATAAGACTAGTTTATATTTTAATAGCAACAGGAATCTTAAATTTATTGATATAAAGATATTACTTTTGGCCATCATTTTAGAGTACTCAAAATTAGAAAATAATTTATTGTTTATAAGCAGTATTTTGCCTATGCAATATTCCTAAAAAGCTAACTGGAAATATATATATATATAATTAATAATAGTAGTTTTCCAGATTTATATCTTACAAAAATTACAGAAGTGTTCAATTAACAACATACCTCCTTTCATAATGTCTATAGAACCCTACTGTTTTATTATATAATTCAATTATTTTATTAAAAATATATAATTCACCACAAAGCACATCTTTCTCCTACCTAGCCACTCTTGTAACCTGTCCATCTTACCATGGGCAATAGAATGGGAGGAAAGGAGTTATCAAGACTCTTAGTATGACTGGAGGAAATGTAAAAGTCAGAGATAAAGAATGTCTCTGTATTTAAATAGTAGCGTAATCATAAAGTGAGTTAGGGACTACAAAATAATTTTAGATACCGAACTTATGCATATTTAACATATTATTTTGTTTCATGTGAATTCCTAGAGTAGTTGTAATTAAACTTAATTTAATTTTTTTCATCCACTTATCCCCCTATACCCTCTTCCACTTCCATGCACTGCCCTTGGCCCCACAATCACCACACTGTTGTCTGCCAATCATCTGTTATCAACATTTGAAATCAAAGTCTTACTCTAAGTAGCAATAACTCAAGGGGAAAAGGTGAGGGAGGTCAAGGAGAGGTGTTATACTTACACATGTTTATTTAGGAATCAAATGTAAGGCACTAAAAACACTAGGCTACTCACCATAGTTATTATACTCATAATGTCTTTTTAAGAATGTAAAATATATTTCCTTTCTGTTCATTTTAATAAGCTTAATTCTAACTAAAATGTTTATGAGCCTTTACACTTCAACAGCTCCATACCTTCTATTGAAATATTATTTCCTTTTTATTAGAGAGAATGTGATAGAAACTTTTAGAACTTTTCACTGACTTAAAAAAAATCTAGTTTCCAATTGGTAGAAATGAATAAGCAGATACTCATTATCATGGTAAATATATATATATGATAATTACATATGTATATACCTCCCAATTCGTTATTCTACTAGTTCAGTGAACTAAAGCAATTTCATAATTTTCTCTTCCATATTTAGATAGAGATTTGAAAACAATAGAGAAGATTACAGGCCACCTTTTTTTTAAAAAATATATTTTATTGATTTTTTACAGAGAGGAAGGAAGAGAGATAGAGAGTTAGAAACATCGATGAGAGAGAAACATCGATCAGCTGCTTCCTGCACATCTCCCACTGGGGATATGCCCACAACCAGGGTACATGCCCTTGACCGGAATCGAACCCGGGACCCTGCAGTCCGCAGGTTGACGCTTTATCCACTGAGCCAAACCGGCTTCGGCTACAGGCCACCTTTTGAAAGGCCTACCATCAACCAAGATTATTTGAAAAACAATACATTTTTTTAAGCTGTACCATTATGTGTATTCTAAATATTCTTTCTTTGTGGACGCTTAAAGTACATTGTATTTTTTATATCTCTATAACACATTATTCTCAATCTAACAAATATTTACAGAGTTCTTACTTTATATAATGTCTTCTTAAGAATTACTACATAGAAGATACAAGAAATACTATACTATGTACTATATAGAAGACACAAGAAATATTAGAATACAGTTTATTCCCTTAGCATTTTTGCAATCTAAAAGGGGCGGGGCGGGGGGCGGTGATGAATGCTATAATGGAAAAGAAAACAAAGATCTGGCATGGAAACTGCTTACATAATTATAATGGTTAAATCAAAATATCACTTATGGTTCAGAAAAATCAGGAAAATTTTATAAAAATATATCTAAAATATTATTAAATAAACAACATTTGGGTAAGAGAAATAGAAGAGCATGCTCCAGGTGTGGCAACATCAGTTCAGACTGCATCCTGCAAGTATTTGGTGGGACATGTTTATGAAACATCAGTGAGTTTGGCAACTATTTAAAACAGAAGGAAAAGAAAAGATTAAGAGAGAAAATGGCTGTCATTGTGGCTGACTCTGAATGTCAGAAAAAGAACTTTACTGTCAATTTGGTTACTGTCTATCAATGAGTGGTCCCTGAACTTTTTAGTAGAAAAATTATAAGTTTAGGACACGGATTCAAGCAAATAGGGTACTTGGAGATGATGACTTTTTGTTAGAAAGCAAATCAATAATCCAGGCAATGAAGTCTTGAACTTGATTCTGGCAATGAGAAGGAAAGGGTAGAAACCGATGAAAGATAGTCTGGCAGTAGAATCTACAGGATATAGCAAATATGTTAATAAGCAGGCAGGCAGATGAAAAGACATGAGTCAGATAACTTGTCCTCAACTAAAATGAGAAACACGAGAGAAAGACTGTTGCCTTCTGGTGAGATGACTTCTGTCGTGGGTATGTCAAACACATAAAGACATGTCAGCTCACAGGCACTATGAGCAAAGCAAAACTAACAAGATGATGAGGGTTATCTAAAGCTCTGTTGTCCTCTTCTCTTTGTCTTCCAGGAACTTATGCTGTGTTGACAATTCAAAGCCTGCTCTAGTCCTGTCACTCTCTGCTTATTTCTCTTTTCCCTTCTCACCAAAATGTGATTGTGATTTATTCATGAAAGGCCTTGCTTAAGTTAAAATAATCTGTTAAATTGATTTTTTTAACCCACCTCAGAAATGTATATATTTATATTGGAGAACTCACCAATCACAGCCCATCAACCCAAGGGAACAAATCTGAAGCAGAGTATGTTTATCCAAATACACATACCACCCTCTACTCTGAGTTGGACTGTAGTGAAAATCTAGGAACATGTAGTGACAAAGAAGTCAAGTCTCCCTTCAGAGCTCTGGGATTAATCAAGTTTATTATTTCTGTGTGCATAGACCTTTTTTTATCCAAACTTACCGTGACACATTATGGTAACTATCACTTTATCCGTGTGTTTCCCCCATGTCCTGGAGGTACCGGTCATGCCACCTCTCATGAACAAATATGAGTGATTTATTTTTAATATATTTAAATAGTAGGTAATATAGGACCAAGTGCAATTTGTACTTTCTTTGAAATTTACTAAAAGCAGATTACACATAACATGATATTATTCGCTGAATACTTAGGATTTATGGAATGAAATAAAATGTCAATGAAAAGTTTCCAAGTTACTAAAAGTTAAGGATTTTTACAACATATATTTTTTCACACTGATAACAAATGTAATGATATAATAATGTTTATAACATAACTGATAAGGTAGAGGAAGAAAGTATAAATATCATAGAAAGTGGTTAAATATTAGATAATGAAAGTTAATTTCTGCTACAATTTTAAATATAACAACACTAGAAAAATAAATGGAGATTTTATTATTGCTTTGCTTCTAAACATTTTCAAATGAAGGGTGTAAAAAAGGCAGGGACAAAACACAAAAGAAAGATAGGAAATCAAACTACTGGATACTGAATTCCAATCTAATACTTTATGATTAAGTACAAATTATGTTTGAAAATTAACCACTGCTTATGAAATATAATCTATACTAATAAAAGGGTAATATGCTAATTAGACCAGGTCATCCAGCTACCTCCGGATGTCTGGCTTCCTTCCGGACAAAGCCATGATGGTGGGAGCCAAGGCAGAAGCAGTTAGGGGCAAGATCAGGCTGGCAGGGGGTTAGAGGTGAGATCAGCTGGCAGGGCATTAGAGGGGATCAGGCCAGCAAGGGCCAGACTGAGGGACACCCCCCATGCATGAATTTCATGCTCTGAGCCTCTAGTATCCTATATAATAAAATCCTAATATGCAAATCAACCAATGGCCGAACAACCGGTCACTATGACTTACACTGACCACCAGGGGTCAGACACTCAATGCAGAAGCTGCTCCCAGCCTACAGGCCCCAGGCCAGCCAAGGCGGGTGCCAGCGGAGGGCCCCCCGATCACCCCACTGGTCACCCCACAGATTGGCCCTGATCGCCGGCCAGGCCTAGGAACCCTACCTGTGCATGAATTTTGTGCACTGGGCCTCTAGTCTATATATATATAAAAGCCTATGTGACCTAATGATCGAACAACCAAATGACCAGTTGCTATGATGCACACTGACCACCAGAGGGCAGATACTCACCACAAGAGCTGCCCCCTTGTGGTCAGTATGCTCCCACAGCCAACCTCCCGTGAGCCCCCACCCCCTGTCCAGTTAGCCTGATGGTCCCAATCAGGGCAGCCAACCTCCCGCCGCCCTCCATGGGCTGACCAACCTCCTGCAGCCCCTACCCTCCAACCACCCCCCGCTTGGAATGGGCGCCAGATGCAGGGCTCATGGCTGGAGAGCACTTCTGCAGTGGCATGAGCCTCTCCTGATCAGGACTGACTGGACACAAGCCTGCAGCAGGCCCAGCAGGGCAGGGATGAGCAGGACCGACAGGTGGCATTGGACTGCTGGTTTCAGACCAATCTCTGCAGGCCATGCCGAGGGGCCCCACCCATGCAGGAATCCGTGCACCAGGCCTCTAGTCTTTATTATAAAACTGGTGTAAGCTTATGGATTGCCTACCTCAATAGTTTGTTTTGTTTCACAATAAATCCATGAAGTCAAATCCATAGCATAAACAGTTTATACAGGTACTGGCATCTGATGGATCAACCCTTATATAGGACCATTTTCATTTTGAATCTCCAACCTTCCTTCCCCTATTCTGGTGGATTGATCTTCTCCCTCCTTCCAACCCCACATGTGCTCTAGGGTGCATGTGTTCTAGGGTGCGTGCTTGCAAGTGAATAAAAGCTTCTTTGGGACCCATTTCTACAGTATTTATTATATCAGTTATGTAAGCTCCAAATTAAAACATTCCCTTAGCAGAGCATAATTCCCACATGCACAGGGTCGATCTTAAACTTGCCCCTCTATATCCAAGAGTTTTGTGTACAATAGCTAAGATCTGGAAACAGCCCAAGTGCCCATCAGTAGATGAATGGATAAAAAAAACTGTGGTACATATACACCATGGGATACCGTACAACAGTGAAAAAGAAAGATCTCTTACCCTTTGAGACAGCATGGAGGGACCTGGAGATGTGCTAAACAAAATCAGAGAAAGACAAGTATCACATGATCTTATTCATATGTGGAATCTAATGAACCAAATAAACTGTTGAACAAAATAGATCCAGTGATACAGAAGCATGGAAGAGGCTGCCGAATCTCAGAGGGAAGGTGGGGATGGATGGGTAGGTGAGAAGATATCAAGCAAAGAACTTGTATGCATATATGCATAACCCATGGACAGAAACAATAGGGTGGTGAAGGCCTAGGGTGGAGGGCAGAGGGTGGGAGTGGGCTAGAAGGGGTCAATGAGGGGTAGGAGGGACATATGTAATACTTTCAATAATAGTTTAGATACATAAATTGCCAATTGTTCACCTGAAACCTATATAATTTTATAAACCAGTGTCACTCCAATAAAGTTAATACAAATTTAAAAGGTAAAGATGTACAAATTGCCAG